TTTAAATACGGATGTTATCAGCTTCTTGAGTACAAGCCACGCTCGCATGAAAGCCCGCTGCCTACGTTACAGCTAAGGACATTGCTAAACACCGACAACTTTCAGGCCTTTTATTATTTTTCATGCTATTCGGTGGTCTCAATTGGCTTAACTGCATTAAAGCAGATCTGAACAGCACACAGCGAGATGCTGAATAATGCCAATTCTTCAACGTGAATACAAGCTAGAGGCAGCAGATCCTGTCTGTGTGCCAGAGAAAGGCAGGACGCATCTCACCGGCGTGGCTGGGCTTTCCAGCGCAATGGGGATAGCTGCCGACAAACGTTCTCAGGAAGTTGGGAGCAACTGTTAAACCTCTGTGCACAACGGTCTTATGTTGTGAGGACATCCAGGGCTTTGGAGGCGTGGAAAAGGAAAGAGGGGAAGGGTCTCACAAGGCTGAAATACCAGTTTTCAGCCATCACTAAGGGAGTAGCTAACAGCAGCCCTCACTTCTGTCTCCGCTGGGAAACGCAGGAGGTCTCCTCCTCGCTCTGTACTCTGACCTTCTGTCACTACCCCTTTTGCATCATTTTAGGCAGGAGAGTTCACACCCCTCTCCGGCTCCAAAACACAGAAACCACACAACAGCCAATTCTTCTGTCTTGGAACTCAGAACCAAAAAAACCCAGCATTCACCTCTATATTTTTTGTTTTGACTGAAGTTTCACCAGTTCCAGCAATCTCAACATCTCAGAACTTTTCGACCCCTTCAGCGTCTAAGAATTTAAACCCCAAACCTGGTGCTGGCCTCTTGCTTTGCTCTGAGAGATGAAAGCAAGGGAGCAAGGTGGAAGATTTAGCACCTCAAAAGAACAGAGGGAAAGAAAAAAAAAAGAGTAATACACAACAATGCAACTTTTGTGTTATTTTATTGGTATTTGTGAAGAAAAAAGGAAGTTTCACCTTTCTGATGTGTTACAGTTGCTTTCTCCAGTGGGTGAACAGCTCCTACTGCGTATTTGAAGGCTAAATAACACTTCCCAATTGCACGATAACACTTAAAGTTCTCGTATGGTATTGCTTTCTTCCTCTGGGTATTTAAAATGGTCCATAAAGTCCATGAGGGTTTTTTTTTCAGAATCAACTGTTATTCTATTTACTGCTTGAAGATACATTCAAATAAAAAGATACTTAAATGTACTCGCAATAAGTGCACACATACAACAGCAAGGAGAGCTGATGACGTTTTACTAAAACATCGTAGGTTATAGAATAAATAGAAGTCTTCAAACACATGCAGTAACTGACCGATGTGTTTTCTCTTTCTCAAAAAGTATCCTTAGTGTCCATAGCACTACTGCAGCAACTACTTCATTCCGGAAAAAAACCAAACCCAAACCACCCCCCTTTCTCCCGTCACAAAAAGACAGATT